GTAGTAGTAGTAGTAGTCGCCGTAGTAGTAGTAGTAGTAGTAGTAGTAGTAGTAGTAATAACAATAGAAAGACGACTTTCTTGTCGCCTATCGACGATCCACGAAATTTGAGAACCCTGAGTCAGGTCAAGTGTCGACTTCGTTGTGAGTCTGCTTGATGACCCAGATGCACGCCGCGGCCCCAAGCTTTGATGTCACAGAGCTCAGCCTAAGCGTAAACGGCAATGCACCCCCTAAACCCCCTAAACCCCTTAAACCCCTTAAACCCCTAAGCCCTAAAAAGCCGCAAACCCTAAAGCCCTAAGCTGAGGAGGCATAGGGGCTGGAGCCAGCTGTTGATATAAGCTGTTGAAGACACAAGTCGTCGGGGGTCGGAGGACCGTTTCGGCCCGCATTCCTGACCCAAAGTGATGGGATACTGAATAGCTTCTGATTGACTTCTTGTGTCGCGTGTACTGCTGAGGCATCATCGTGCGAGGCTGCGATGTATCCCTCTTCGATGCTCGGAGACATCTGGGGATCTTGCTCTGATTCGGGGGCTGTGGTTTCAGATTCTGTTTGGGGCGGGCACTCGAGTGGCTCTCCCCAGAGGCCGGTTTGCCCTGGGCCCTTGTACTTTTGAGGTTTAGGGTTCTGGGTTTAGGGTTAGGTTTTTTTGTTCTAAGGTTCCTTTCAAGGGATGTATAGGCTGTATAGGGTTATCAGTTCTCGAATCCGGTTGATGCGGTCTTGTAGCGTGACAGCCGAGAGTGAACTGATTGACAGCGACATCCGAGGTAATAACAATCAATATAGAATCCTGACCTATGATTTGAGTTAGGGTTCCCATCATAGCACGATAATAGACCTTAGCCAAACCCTACACCCTAGACGTAAACCAAACCCTCAACCCCTAAACCTCAGCCTGAACCCTAAACCCTAAACCCTAAGGACACCTCGCATGGACGCTGTGAAGATCAGAAGCGTTTCGGGGAGGCGCCGGACAACTGGCAGGACCCGACCGTCGCCATTTTTGGGGGAGAAGAGCTGTTTGGGTCTTTAGGGTTTAGGTAAAAGGGACTTTGGGCGGGGTTGTGCAGTCATGAGTGCTGCGCTGCTTCACGGCGACGGCAGTTCCGGGCGAGAGAAGCCTGCTGCAAAAGGGACTTTGGGGTCTTCGAGTTTAACTTTAGGGTTTAGGGTTTAGGGTTGACTTTAGGGTCTTCGAGTTCAATGTAAGGCCTGTTGTTCCCGAGGGTGCACGATTACAGTATAGCTGACCAGTTCCCTACACCCCTAAACCCTAAGCCGTACTACAGTAGACCTGACCAGTCCCTACACTGTTAGACGATAATCACAGTAATGTAAGGGCCTCAATAAATACCAATGCTATTTTTGGGGTTCCTTATCATGGTTATAATATAATACGCCCCAACACCCTATTCTAATTATGAAGGCGCCTATAGTAGAACCCAGCAAAAACTCAGCATTCCTTGTCCCTGAATTGCATGGTTTCGGCATGGTTTCTTTTCAAAAAGTGTTTAGGGTTTGGGGTTGAGGGTTTAAGGTTTAGGGTCAGTGGTTTGGGGCTTGGGGCTTGTGTTTAAGACAAGAGTTTAGGTCTTGGTGTTTGGGATTTACGGTTTGGTAAACCCTTTGGCACAGAGGGCAAGTGAAGAGTCCCTATAGACATGTCAGTCTTCAATCCAAAGCCCGGGAAACCCTCGGCCGGGTTGGGAATCGATGAACACGAACGCCGAAAGTCAAGACCGCGAAAACCGACACACAGACTCCGGAGTGGAGACCTGATCAGAGATCAGTTGGAGAGATTGTGAGCTATGTGCGAGCTACGGAAGTCCTCTAAGTGAGAGAGGGGTGGAAGTTTGCCAGATTTATGATACAAGGGGTTGCAACATGTCCCAAATAACCGTCGAAGCAACCAGTAACGTGATGGGGCTTTGTTTGGCCAATGCTTGTACCCCTAAAGCCCTAAAGCCATAAACCCCAAACCCCGTACTGGCTCATCAGAGTCTTTCCGTTAGCCACCAGTGGCAAGCAGAAAAGGGGCGACAAAAACAACAAAAACAGATGCGATGCGTGCGAGAGACACCTGCGCTGTGCTTCATGAGACTTTGAGCTGCATCCAGCTAGCATTGTCCAAGGTTTATAGGGTTTAGGGTTTAGGTTTTGCTAAGCTGCGAAAATAAACAAGGGTTTAGCAAAAGCCACACCATCAAACCGGAAGGGCACCCGGAAACCCTAAACCCCAAACCCAATCCAAATGCAGCGGGACTCGATTCTAGGACTTTGTGCTCACTCACCGCTCAGCGGCTCCCCAAGGCAGGCGGCAGTTCCAGGGCCCTTTTAAGATGAGCTGGGCTTAGGGTTTTGGGAACCCCGGAGCCCACCTTAAATCTTAGGTAGTATTAGGGAGGCCCCTTAAAGGGGACCCTTCTTAACCGTACTAATGGCTCTCTTAAAGAGGGACCTTATAGAGAGGCTCTATATCCCCAAAGGGTCGGGCCCCCCTAATCCTAGCTCCTGTTCAAGAACTTGTTTAGGATTTCTGAGTTTGGGGCTTGGCGCTGCGCAGATTTGAGATTTCGGCTTTGGCTTATCTCAGGATGAAGGCAAAGAAGGGAAGCCGTAGTAGCTGCAAGTAGTAGTAGCAGTAGTAGTAGTAGTAGTAGTAGTAGTAGTAGTAGCAGTAGCAGCAGCACCAGCAGCAGCTGCTCGTCAATTGCTCTGTTTCGTGTAGGTCGAGAGTGGGCTGCCAGTTCATCTCTTCGCCGGGGGACCAAGTGCCGGATTCCGTGAGCCTGATTCAAGTCAAGGGTGCCCGTCCAGGGTTTAGGATTTAGGGTTTAAATCGGATCGCGCTAGGATTTCAGACCTACATCCCTGGTAGGTGCAGGGTTAAGTGTGGGGCCAGGTCCAAACCCAAACCCAGGGTGTAGGGGAATTTTCTGGTCCCAGAGGTTTCGGGTTTAGGGTTTAAGGTTTGGTATAGACGCTTGGATGCAAAAAGGTTTCTTGTAAGACTGGTCCTATGGTAAACTGCGAGCTCTATTCTAGTTTTTGAGGCCCTTACATGGAAGCATCGGCTGAGGGTAGGGCTATGTTTTTGGGTCTTCGTAGTTTTCGTGAATGAGTATAGAGCACTTTTTGACAAATTCACGAGTGTATATCTTGAGTTCTGTCGTGAAAGAACCCTAAACCTTAACCCCCAACCATGAAATTCTAGCAAGAAGAAGCCCCACTTCAGGTGAAGATGAAGCGATTCTGGAGTTCCAGGACATCTGCGCTTGAGTATGCAGCTGAACCCACCATCCGAAGTAGTGGCATGGTACTTGCTATTGTCTCATAGGCGTGGAGAGTCGGAGGCTTTGCTTTCGTAGGTGCAGGATGGTGACGTTGAGTGCTCTTGAGACCACGGCCATAGCTAGCTCGCCGCATGTGGGGGCTGACAGATCTGGTTCGGGCTATCAGACGGAAAACAGCTTTCAACAAAACCTTAAAAGCGCTCAGGATGCTTTGTGTTTTGGCATCAGGCTCTGTTCAAACTTGTGGGGCCAGCGGCCAGCAATGAAGCTAGGGTTTAGGGTTGGGTTTCCGAGTACCGGTTGCGATGATCTTGTTTCTCTTCAACCCTTCCATGTCAATCTCCAGCTCAGGCTTCGTGGTCGGGTTAGTTCTGAAAACTGCATGCTATCCCTTTATAGGGTTTCCAGAGCAGACTTGCTACAGCTAAGCTTCGCTTCTGTTTGGCTGCTGCTACTGCCCGTTGCCACTGCCACTACTACTTCTGCTGCCGTTCCTGCGACGATCACTGCCTTGTTTGTGCAGGCATCGCGGCCCAAGGGCACGATGTTGAGCCCATAAGAGGCTCCGGCTTGAAGCTGTGCAGCTCGCTAGGTGGACGGATCCACTGCGTGCTGAATGAATGA